CCCTACATAATCCCCTCCCCCCAGAATCGAGAACCCCCACTCCCCAATATCTTGATATATCGGGAATGTTGAATATTGGGGCAGGTTGAGTGCAAATATGTGTTGATGGAAGTAATCCTTAATAGGGACCCCCATGATCCCTTTACAATCCTCATATCTCCATAGTGTAGGGTCCATAATCAGGGCTCCCTGAATGGAAGAAACTCCCAAATGTCCTTAACGCTAAGGTTTAGGGTTTAGGGTTTAGGGTCCCTAAATTTAAATCGCATGGGCCTCTTTAAGTTCAGAGCATGCTCTTCTGCTTTACATCTTCCGTGGGCCGGGCCCATAGAAAAACCTCTAGGGTTTGGGTCCAAGATGACCATGCTTTTTGTGACGACCGTTAATATCATATGGGAACTTCTAGGATCCTCTGTATGGCCACTTTGATCCATATGCCAGCGGTTTTTTGCATTTATATTTACGAAGCTAGACCCTGAAACCCAAGCCCTAACATAAAAAGTGGGTAGATCCTGAAGCCTAAAACTCTAGAGCTTTAAACCTTAAAACCCTAAAACCTTAAACCCCAAACTCCTAAACTCCTAAAACCCTAAAGCCTAAACCCCCCAAAAGTGGGTGCTGCTCTTACTCAGCCAGCAGGCTTGGGTCTTGCCAGTGTCGATGACACTGGCCTGTGGTCCATTTCCGAACTCCAGGCCCTTCAAGGGTTTCAGGGTTTATCGGGGTTTTAGGGTTTTAGGGTTTAGGTGTTTAGGGTTTAAGGTCGTTGGTTTAGGGTTTAGAGGTTGTATAGGATTGCTGTCAAGGATTTGAAATGAGATTCCCAGACCAGGGATATAAGGTGAATAGTAGGGTTTTCCTAAGTTTGGTAACTTAAGCATTTGCAGCACGTGCAAGGCCCGGGTCCGGGAATTTGCCACACGGTTTGAGGGTGTAGGGTTGGGCGTTTCATGCCCAAAGCAGGAGCAGGGGCAATGGTTTAGGGCTTAGGGTTTAGGGTGATGACATGGATCTGAGAGCAGTCAGGATGCAACAAGAATATATATTCACAATCCCCAATTCATGGCATACAAGCCCTGAAGCTCTAAGTCTCATGGCCTGGATCTCATGGATCCTTGAAGATCTCATGGATGTCCTGAGGGGTCGGAGTCAGAGAAGTGTTCTGGAGGCTTCCCCATTATGACAGGTCATGAGCCCAATGTTGATACTAAACATCCTGCATGATTCTAGCATACCATACTACCTTATTTCCGAATGTTTAAGGTATTTAAGGTGATGTATCCACCGCCATTGTAGCCCTTTATGTGTAGGTCATCCCCGGCAAGCATTCTTGAGCCTCCATCGACTTTGCGGAGCGAAAGGGCGGCAATGTTTCCACGCACTGCGGCCTTATGCCGGGGTGCCTCCCAGTCAGAGGAACGAGTATCCAAATGATAGGGAGTAGCAGTTTAGGAAAACATGGCTGAGATGTTAGGTAAAACCCTAAACCCTGCAAAGCAGATGACGCTCATGTGTTTCTTGCCACACAATGCGTTTGTTGAAGCATGTGGGACGGGACATGCTACTCTGACATGCCTACACATGAGTAGTACTTTATGTGGGGATGCCATAAGGTTTAGGGTTCAGGGCTTGTGAGATTATGTCCTCCTTTTGGGTGTAGCATGTTGTATAAGGAATACAATCTTACTGGGCTCAACCACCAAAACCCGCTAATCACATGGAGAGGATTCAGTCGCGTACCTGATCCAGAATGTGAAGACCGGAAGTCAACTTGGCTGCTTGCTTCCATTTGTATGGGGATTGTGTAGGCCCTAGGCATAATGGAAAAGACACTGGAAAGTATTATTCACCCCAAAAAGGATCTGTATAGGAATATATAGGGACAAGAAATTGTAAACTACAGCGCTTAGGGTTTCGGGATGTTACCCCCATGTACTGCAACGCTCTCACATGCTTTTGATGGGCAGCTTGTGCAAGCGACTATGCTTTCGCAAGGTTCCCACACGTGGTTCATTCATAGCACCTGCCACGGCCCCAGCGCTTCGTTCTGAGGTCTGCCTGATGCCAATTAAGGTGTTAGGTGAAGGGTGCTGACCCTTTTGCAGGCGCATCCGGTGCCTTGAATCTTGCCTCTGGTTACTTAGAACTGAAGAGTGGGAAAGAAAATGGGAGCTGATATACCACGGGGGAATACATAGGGACTACTGGAAGGATCCATTCCTTCAATCCTTGCTAAGAAGAGATAAGTGGGTCCTGCCGCGCAAAGGTCGGGGGAGCTGCATAAGCATGGCCGACCACGAGGGCAAGGCCGCAAGTTCTGCCCAGATAGATTTGTGGGTTGTTCTAACTGAAAGTTCTTTTGTAGAAGGGACCAAAGCGAATATACTCCCTTGAAGGGCAATCCATACCAACAAGGGAAGTACTTTGAACAGGTACCATTTGGAAATGGTGTTGTTGGGAAGGATTAGTCTTGATATGGGAAGTTATGTACACGGATTTGCCAAATTCTCCAGCATCCGGAAAGCGAATTCCACAGCGAAGAAGCAAGCCTGAAAAGCATTCCGAGATATGGTAATTTCCCAAAATAAGGGGACCCCAATATAGACCCTAGAATACTATAATCCTTATTATGGAGACCCTCAAAAAGGTACCCCTAATCTTGGGAATCCCCCATATTTTGAAACAGCCTGCGAACCATGTAACCCTAAACCCTAAAACCCTAAACCCTAAAACCCTAAACCCTAAACCCAATGAATCAAGTCATGGGAGCCTTGCCCCTCCAAGCATGTCTCAGCTAGGCACCTCGAAAATCCCCTTATTATCTCCATATGGAAGTTTCCCAAAATTAGGGGTACCATTTTAGGGGCCCCAATAATAAGGACTATAGTATTTTGGGGTCTACATTGGGGTTTCCTTATTTTGGGAAACTACCATATATCGCTAGAGCAGATATCCCTTTTTATTTCAGTAGCTCGGTAGTAGGCACTTTTCGCTTTTTGGATTCTTTTTCTCCTATTTCTGAAAAGCAGTGTAGCTGGCTGTTTCATTTCTCGGGGCCTGGAGAGCTCAGCAACCGGGTATAATTATCTCAAGCTTTCGCAGGATAGACCCTTGGACACATTCAGGGCCCTAGAATTGTTAACGGGTTCGGGAACGTATGTATAATGGGCACTGCTAGGGCTACAAAAGAAAAGGCTTGTGATATTCCCTGACCCCTTAGGTCCCCTACACCCGTAAACCCTGGGCAAACTTGAGCAAAGAAGTTTCAAAGTAAGGGGTCCCAAGATAATTTTTCAAGGGTGCCCTATGTATTCTGCGGGGTCTGCGGGGATCCCTCTAACAGTCTACACCGTGCTACATCCCTACTCAAGACCGGGAACCCGTGTTTTTTTGTTTTGTTGTTTGGTCTTTTTTGTTGTTGGGTCCCTTAAAGACGAGCCAGGCAGACTGGTAAGTGAGTGAATTCCCGTCCCTAGCCCAAACAGCAAAAAAACACGCCCCCCGCCCAAACAGCAAAAACAACAACACGCCACCCGCCCAAACAGCAAAAAAAACAAACACGCCGAATAGCAAAAAAAAAACAAAAACAACGAAACGACCACACAACAAAAAATGAACACTCTTACCCTCAAGACCGCTACACCTATTAGCCCCAAAAAACTGGAAGTCCTCAACCGACCATATCCGCGTTTTGAAAAAGACAGTAGTCCTCAATTGAATATCTAGGTATCCTCCCTGTAGTCCAATTATTGAGGTTTTTGAGGGAGTCCCAACCCTACATTATTCCTAAACCGCAAACTGTAAACACCCGAGACCATAAACCTTACGTAGAAAGCCTGCAGCCCCAAAACCTGAAACCCCAAGAGCCTGACTCCTAAACTCTAAAACGCATAAACCCTCAACCCTAAACCAAAAAGCCCCCCCAAACCCCTAAACTCTAAATCCCAGGAAATCTAAACTCTAAACCCATTACAGTAGATCATCCCAATACGCAATATGTAACTCCCCATTGTCCCCGCATACCCCTTACATACCCTGTATTTAAAGTGCCCCCATTGGAAACTCTCCTGTAGTTAGTCCCTTTGCAAGGTCTTGGCTCCTGTGTCAGACCCAGCAGAGCAGGGTGGGGCTCTCAAGGCGATGGCTTTTGCCATGGTCTCGGGTCTCCGTTCGAGGGTTTGGGAAAGTTTCGTAGGTGTCCAGGGGCTTTAAAGGGTTGAGGGATTTCGGTTTGAAGGCTTCTTACAAGTTCTCCGAATCAGGGCTGGTTAACGTTAATTAAAGGGGAACCTGGGGGGGCAGTATAGGGGCAAGTACATGGGCGGAATGCAGGGAGGTTGGCTTAGGGCATGCTTAGGGCTTCGAGGGATTCGAGAGGGACGGTTTACGGCTGAGGGTTTGGCGTTTCGGTTGGAGGGTTCGGGGGCGCTGTACCGGACCCACAGTATTGTATATCTGTAGTAACTTAGGTCAATCCCCCCTACCGTAATCACCCCTAAATATGGAGGTATTGGGGCCTTATAGTATACCACAATAGTCCTTTGTGGTACCCGTTACTCGGTGGGTTGACCTAAGTAGTAACGATTATGTCCTTGGGATTGAGGGTAAGAGTTCAGGGCTTCAGGGCTAGAATCAGGGTCTAGGCTTAGCTTAGGGTAAAGCATAGGGTTTATTGGCACCCTTAGGCACGCCAAAGATCAGGTGTCACTTAAAAGGGTTCTGACGGGTACGGTTTTGGCAAGCACTTCATGCCATTCCGAAGCCAGCGCAGCTATGATGTCACAGGAAACGCAGTTGCCACGGGGAAATAGCTGCAAAACGAAAAGTACCTTCAGTTCTGACAGTTCTGACGCCTTCCTTTTCCAGTTTCATGATAACTATTGTAGAATATCTCACACGAAGCCCGAAGCCCTAACCGCTGTGGAAGATCTCACGCCGGGCTAAATCAAATAAGCAGGTTGTATCATCAGCTGGCTTTCAGGATCAAGGCTTGCATCATCATGGCGGGTGTCAACACCAAACGCAAGTTTGGCTTCATCTTTCCGATGGCCTCGGGACACCTCAACCCATCCTTGCCAGTGGCCCGAGCCCTTGTGGAAGAAGGGCACGAAGTCAATTACCTGTGCAGGGAACAGATGAAGGAGGCCATTGAGGATACCGGTGCCACGTATCACTCAGAGGTCGACGAGCTGCGTGAGTTGTACGAGGGCAGGCAGCTGGACATCATGGGTTGTTTGACAGACCTCCAAAAGGAGTTCGGCTTGGAAGAGGACCCGCTTATCATTGCCATGTTCAAGGTCAAGGAAATTATGCTGGAGATGATGCTGCCTGGCATCCTGCGCTGGTTGCGAAAAACTGGGGCAGAGGCGGTTGTTGTTTGTCCATTGATGAACAAGGAGGCATGCTGGGCTGCGCAGATTATTGGCATTCCTTGCATTGGAATTTTAACCACAGCTGGGCCAGGAAGCCTTCGATCAGCAACCTTGGACTGGCTGGCAAAAATGGGCTACACCCCTGAGCGCTGCCTGGAGGACAGTGCTTCACAGTACATGATTTTATTGTAGGGGTTAAAGTGCATGCTGCCGTACCCTGCCATCAGGAGCGCCGAGCATACCAACCCTTGAACGAAGCAATTGATCGCTTGCGTTCCAGCTATGGCTTGGAGATTGCAGTTGACGAGGACATGTTGCCTGTGGGAATCTGCGTGGTTGCCCAGAAGTCTGCACTGACACTTGTCACTACAGTTGAGTTTCTTGCGGACCCCGTGGCTCCGGATGTTCAGCAAGTCTATGAGGCGGACCGAACAGAATTTGTTTTCGTTGGACCACTCCTAGATAAAGCAGGAGCTAAGCGAGCAGCGGGACACAAGATTCAACCGCAAGAGTCCGCGGAGGCTGTGAAGGTTGGTGATGACGCGGATCCTCTGACCTTGCTGCGCAATGCCCGTGCAGCTGGTCGAAAGGTGGTTTTTGCCAGCATGGGAACAGTTATCACGGGAGATATGCCAGAACTCGGCTGGGCCAACCGCATCAAAGTGGATGGTGTGCCTCAGGGCCTGTCAGGCCAAGAGTTGTGCCAAGCGGCGTGGGGTGGCCTTTTTGATCGTCTCGGTGCCAGAGAAGAGGGCGACAATGCAGCACCGCTGTTGTTGGTGTCAGTCGGACCTCAGCAAGATGCTCTAGAGAACATGTCCGTCCCGGCGAACGCATTCTGTTTGCCCGTCATGCCACAAGTCGACATTTTGAAGCAGGGTGTGGACATGTTCTTGACGCACGGGGGCCAGAACAGCTTCATGGAATCGTTAAGCATGGGAGTTCCGGTGCTCGTTTGCCCGGGCTTTGCAGATCAACCCGTCAATGCTGAGAAGGCCGTTCAGCTGGGCGTGGGCTTGCAGGTCGAACGCCCCATGTGTGACGCGAGTGATGCTACGAAGGTGGCTGCAAAGTATCGACAGGATGTGGCAGAGGCCGTGGACAGGGTGTTCACAACCCCAGCATTCAGGGCGAAAGCTGAAGAGTGCGCTTTGCAGATGCGATCAGCAGGCGGGCTTCCAGACGTGAAATACTCACTAATGATGCGAACACATGCTACCCGCAACACTGTACCGTTCAGTAGCTGGTGTAGCCTGATATGCAATGGTGATTATTTCAGCGGTTCTCAGTGGACCGGTAGTGAGGCCGAACTACAACACCTTCGAAAAGGCTAAATAAGCTTCAGAAAGCAGATCAGTTGGGCACTCAGTCAACAGGGTCGCAGAAGTGTACCTGAGGTGGTGTGGAGAGAGCCAAAGACCTGATCCTCCAAGCAGTACATTCAGAAGAAAGCCGGAGCAGCAAGCTTGGCGGTGCTTGATCGCGGGCCGGAGCTCCTGTGGAATCTCATCCTGAGATTCTCTATACGGCAATGGTTGCCATGGTTGTAATTCGCGTTTACGTCCCCATCCTTATGCGACTGGGACAGTCTTGTAGCTGCAGTGATAGTGTTGCAGGTTGCCTGAAGTACAGATTTTCAGGTGAGGCAACTACCTTGCTTTCGCATGCATGCACTTCACAAGCCGGCGGAGACGTAGGGGCCAGGATTGACGGGGGGTTTTGCTTGGAAGTGTCAACTATCTCAAGAGCTTCTGAGACAGAATTCGAGTTCTCCAACGGGAGCAGCAGAAAGTCTTGCCTTTGGAGCGGATCGTTCCAGACGCTGATGCCTTGCAAAAAGGCGTCGTGCCATGTGTACGCTTTGCCTAACTGCCAACTGTGTCCACGCTCCACAGGCCTTGCAAACGAATGGAAAGCTGTCTGCAAGACAATTGGAAGTCCAGCAGGCTCTTGGGCTCCAACGTCTCCAACACGCCATCGTTTGGTCGAATCATTTTGGCCTCAGTTGAGCAACAGGACGCAGTGCCTGCAAAAAAGGTCCGGGCTGCTGGACAAAACTCATAGGAATCGTTGTTTCGCTCGCAAGTCTGCTTATCTTCACTAATACCAGCAAAGCTTCATTGGAGCTTTCACAACTCCCAGCTCAGTTTGCCCTAAACCCTAAACCACCTAACCCCTAAAGTGCTGCCCTCACCCATGAACAGTCTATAATAGGGGTAACATTTGGGGATATATTTAATCTTCGTATACATATTCTCCAACTGTTGCTGAGTGGCGGCAGTGCCCGACCTTGAGATCAGGACTGCCCCGACCTCCGTGGAATTCCTTGCTTTCAGCCAGACTTCAAAAGGGTTTAGGGCGTGCAATCCAGTCGCGTGCCCCAACAGAAGGCTGCGCCAACGAACGCCGAACAGGCCGGCAAGGGGACCTGCAGGATTAGGATCTTTAGTGTTCAGCATCTAACAGTCTACAGTTTCAGTGCTTAGGATTTGTACTCGATTTTGGTACTTGTGAGTTCAGGGAGTCCGCGCGGGTCAGCAGCTCCGAGCTAGAAAACCATGATCAAAATGTCCAACAGCCTTGCGCTCTGGAGGCACGTTTGAATTGGTGTATATACTTTCACGGAACTTGGGAATTTAATGGGGCTGCCGTTCTGAAGAATGAGATGCGGCCCATCTTGAGAGAACTCCAAGATCAAGCCTTCGCGCTAGCTGCCTACTTGGTTTGCCCTAGCTGGTACTGTAATCAGCCTTGCTGCATGGGGTTGTTCTACTTGGTGTTGACTAGGGCAGGCCGGAATGGATCATAGGAATTAAATGCTGGGGACGAAATACAGGGACCACCACACTCCCCTAACAATAAATGCTCCTTCCCATGTAAAGTGGTTCCTGTGCCCTAGCGCCCTAAACTTTCAGAAGGCGTCTACCACAAGCCCAACTGCCTAGCTTTTCGCAACACTGGCGCCTTGTGGCCTCCACATTCAGAGATGGCTGCTTACATTGTTCCTTCCTATTTGTTGTACAGCTAGCTGCACACTCCCGACCCTGTGCAGTAGGATTTCAAATAGGGCGCTAAGTGGACCCAAAACGTTACAACCTAACCTAAACCTGCTTCATATTCTGGTGCCTCTCTTTTGCCTCTTGGCTCAGAGCTTTCTGGGGGATTTGGTGAATCCCAGCTCGACTCCACATTGCGCAGCGGACCCAGCGAGGGGTCTTGAATTTGGGCTTTACTCCTCTTATTCAATTCGAGTTATATGGCGTCCACTGTAGGCATCCATTGAAGTAGCGAGTCTCAGGATGCAGTGGTCACAGCTTAGGGAAGAACACAAAAAAGAGGAGATGCTGGAGGCTCTCAGGCCAGGTTTTTCTACCCAGTTCGCCAGAGTACGACATACACTCGAAGACTCGAGGTCCCCTTACAGGGGATTTAGGCCTATGGAAAAGGAAATGGAAACTAATGTATTTTGGGAGATGATATATGGGCTAGTATAGGGATCCAATCCTTCACAGAAGGATTTTAAATGGAAGCCTCCAATTTGAGCCTATAGGCGTTGTCCGCGGAGACGGGAAGTAACCGACTCAATGATGGCAACAACTCACATGTGGGTTCCTTTTTTGGAGCTTCCCTCAAAAAGATTCCATTATTTGGAGGAGCATGCACATCTAAGCAGGCACTGGGGCAGTAGCTCTTTGTGAGAATTTTAGAGGAGTATTACAAAGGTCCATTCCTCTCTAGTCCAATGCCTGGGTCGCTGTTCAGGGCCTTCATTTATGTTACCATAATAGGAGTATGTGGTAAAGAATGGGGTTCCCGTTTTCTTATTGCTTTATTTTGAGTTCCTTGAAAGCAACCCAAAATAAAGCCACTACATTAATCCATGAAGTCCTCTAGGGAGTAAGGGCTAGGGGTTATAGGGTTGATTGGAAGGATGCTCAAACCCAGTGTAGCAACCTTAGGGGTACAACCCTCCTTGATGCAGCTACTCCGCCACCCCGTCCCAAAAAGTCCTCCACTCATTATGTAGTGCCAGGGGTGTGGGGAGTGACCTAGAACCAGAAACCCTAAACCTTGAACAATTTAAAACCTAAAAAATCCTAAGCCTTGAATTGAAAAACTATGACCTAAAAGATCCTAAACCTTTGAAAAGCTAAACCTCAAACATCGCAAGCCTAAAAACCTAAAGCCCTGTGTGGAAGAATCCTGGATGCCCAGGCAGAGCGTGCGCCAAGATCGGCTCGATACTCCGACGAGAAGACCGCAGCACCTCAACAGGTGTTGAGGTTTAGGGTTTAGGCTTTATGAATTTAGGGTTTTGGGATTTTACAGTTTTCGGATTTAGGATTTTAGGGTTTAGGGCTTGGGGTTCAGGGTTTTACTGTTTGGGGCTTGGGTTCAGGATTTGGGGTTTTGGGCTTGGGGTTCACGGTTTAGGGGATTCGGGCAAGTAGGGGCTTCTGAAAAGCTAGGGCCCTTATGCACCATACATGGGGAGTAGATGGGTGTTATTATCGCGGACTCTACAGCAAGTACTCGGAGGAAATACCTTGGCTGCTTTTAAAGAGCTGTTAGCTATAATCCTAAGAGCCAGCTGAGCTGACAATTTCTACCAGGGTTCCAGGGGCGCTGAGAGTCTTTGGCTTCTTCGGTGCTGGGAGAAGCCGGGAAGCAAGCTGGGGGAACCCTGCTACCCCTCAAATTAAACCCTAAAACTCTACATAAACCCTCAAACCCTAGACTGATTCTCTAATTCACGCAGGGAAAGCTTGAGCTTGGACTGGCTGAGCCTCGTTGGCCGAATGCCTTGGCATGGAAATTGTAAGGGACACCATGGTATTCGCCAAAGACTATGAGTTCACGGTTTGAGGGGGTAGGATTTAGGATTTGGGGTTTTGCATGTAAGCAGATACCTTGTAGCCTTGTAGACCCTTGCAGAATGCACGCTTCAAGAGCCCATACTACCTGCCCAGTTCCCTGCAAGGTGTTTTGAGATGATGAAGGCTACCTTTTTTCCGGATGGTCTGGGATACAGGGCCTAAGAATGGATATTCACATGGAAACGGAAATAGAAAAATGAAATGGACACTGGGATAGTTTAGTGGCTTAAATGGATTTTGGGGAGTTAATACATAGTTTCCATTTTATTTTCCATTATCCCAATATGTCCCCCAGATTACCCCTAGGAGAACTTGGTGGGAGTGGGGTCCTCAATCCTAAACCCATGACTCCAAGGCCATGAACATCTTCCGGTTCTGCGGGGATATGCTGCACTTGACCAGCATTATGTCTTGGCCTCGGCTCACACGCGCTTTTGATGGTTCAGGGTTTAGGGCTTACGGTACTGTAGTCCCCAAAGTATGGTGAGACTTGATCCTGTTTTGGGGTAAAGTATCCTACACGAAGGTTATAGATTCACTGGGTTCTACCACTCCCCAGAAGCATTGCAGGCTTTGAGTGAAGCATCGACCCTAAGTTGTGAATTTGCTCTGAACCTTGCCTAAGCCTTACTAGACGCTAAACGCAATGCCAGGTTCTACAACTTCAAGAGGCATCCAGGATCAAGCGCCGTGAAGGAGGGACACCAAGAAACTTTCAAGCTTCAACCTGCAACCCTAAATCCTAAACCCACATCCTATAAATCCTGCCTTCACTACGATGAGCAGGTTGAAATCCTAAACCCAAAGCCCGAAACCTTCAAAGCCCAAGCCTGCAATCCTAGATTTCCCTATGACTGGAAGTTCCCTGAATAATCGTTGTAAATTCCTGTTAGCTATAACCCTGAGAGGCAGCTGAAATGATAGCGTACACATAAAAAACTTGGAAAGGCCTCTAAACCCTAATTCGGACATGTGCCTAGAACCCCTTGGGAAAGGCCTTAAGGATCCTCTTCTTTGCCTAACATACCCTAGACCCCAAACCCCAAGCCAAAGTCTCTATATTCGTATAGCCTCTTTGGGATATCCCTGTAACCCTTAAAGATCCCTTTCTTTTCAATCTTATGTATCCCTCTAAGCCTGTATGCCTACAATGCCGTATATCATCGTATATCCATGTCATTTCCGAAAAGCCCTAAACTCTAATTACGAATGACCTTTTAGAAGTGCCCTTAAAGATCCTTTTCTTCGCAGGCTTCTGGTTTTCAAGCTGCACCGAAGCAAAAGCTGCGTGGG